AAGAGCTAAAATTGAAAATCTCTTCCACAATCCCCATCGCTGCCCCCTCCAAAGAGTCTCATCTCCTTCCCCCAACCCCTCTGCTCGTTGCCGATAGCAAGTCTCAATTTCTTCCCTCCCCTCCCCCCTTCCCCCCCTTCCCCCTCTTTCTCCTCTCTCCTCTGCAAAAGACCGTCCTCGATCCGCCTATGAGTGCATTGAAGGTGGTTTAATTTAAACATGCAAGCGAGTGGGCACAGACATCTGTCTGCTGTTACTCACGTGATGTAATCCAGGAATGTGGAAAGTGGTTCCACGGAATTGTGCCGCAGATGAGTGAACTCCGTTACCAGCTTCTCCTTTAATCGTTCGTCAATAACCTAAACAATTCCTCTCTCTCTACATATATTTGTTAGCGAATAACAGTCTCATGCTGACGATCAACAGTTCAATTCAGAGGGCATTAATTTTGGTGATAAACTGATAGTGGCACATACGAGCAGTTAAAATCATCACTGTCTTTCACCTAGTTAACGCTTGAAAAAGACAGCAAAACATAATCCTCCTCGAAGATAACTGCCGCTAAAATAAGCCGTCGATCAGCCTATTCTCAGATAGCCTAAAACAAAGCCAAATACGTAGGAACTTTCAGATTCTGACTGCACGCGTGTGCCTAAAATACAGTCCAAAAGCACAGCATAATGAGTTGAAACCTAAATTTCCATTGGGTAAATTAGGCAAAAAAGTAATCGATTCCGACTCGCGAATTCTTTAAATTCGGAGAGCGCATTCTTGAAAATTTTCCTCCCATACCATTAATTCTTGGTCCCTGTTATGAATAATGTTTGCTGCAAAGAAATATACAATGATCACCGACGGCCGGGATGGAAGAATTGCAAAACCCTTGCCGGAAATGCAATAAATCTAACATTCCTGTGAGGAAGAGGAAAAAAAAAGAAAAAACAAACAAGTATATTTGTGTCCTGAAGGTGTATTTATTGACCGGACTATTTATATAAAGCTGATTGTGAGGTATTGACAAGACTATTTATATAAGGCTGACTGTGCACTTCCTATGCTTCGTGGAAGCAATAAAATAGCTAATCAAAGCAAGTATAAAAAGTAAAGGCTGCGGGATATGCAACACTTCTGCTCCCTCATACTTCCAAAAACTCAAATATTCGAGGTGCCATGAAAATAAGAAGGTTGGAAGGATGTGAGCAAATACCTGAACAGTTATTGAGCCGGGCTCATTGGCCAGAAAATTACCATAATCTGTTGACTGAATGTGAAGCTTCAGATCTGAAAATATACCTTCATTTCACTCGCTCCCTCTGCTGGCCAATAGACTATCTTCAGCCTTTAGACTGGAGGCCCCACTACATCCGCGATAGGCAGCCAAGGTTGGAAAATCTTGCTACAGTACAATTAAATATAGCAATGTATGCTCTAGCAATCCGCGTCTGTCCCTCAGATATGTAGATATGAGGGGTATATTACAGATCTGAAGTATAAAATATGCCTACATTTTAAATGTTAACACAGTTTTTCAGTAAGCATCGCTTTTGCTGGTTAGGGATGAGTTCAGAGAACAGATTAGATTTGCAGTATTTGAATAAGATTATTTTTTTAAGCAACAGTACCTGCTTTATCCATGGAATCCCCACAGCTAAATGTCAGGAAAGGAGCACCAATGATGTGGAGAGAGTAGGCCGAAGCTCACCTCGATATCTACAGGGTACGATGTACGGTAACACGAATCTGACTATGGCGGGTTTCGCCCAGACTGCCCACTTTTGGGAGGTCTTTTTCATCAAGCCTGAACAAAGCCCCCTTTTGTTCGGAATTCGTGTTTTTAACCTCCTCCACTCCTTCCTGCCGCTAAGACAAAATCACAAGTACATCACAGCTTTGCTGGGCTAACTGTTTCGATTCACAAGCATCCAACTAGAGCTCGCCAAATTTCCCATCTATCTAAGAAATTTCTGGTTTCTAGCATCTCTTCATCGTGACATAGATACAGGTGGATCCAGGGAGACGATGGGTCTTTCGCCCTTCTCCCTCCCCCTCGCCCTCTCCCACCCCCGGCGGCACAGACACTACAAAAGTGCAGGTTTAAAGCTAAAACTAAAGAAGACTCTCTTCGGCACTCCCGTCGCCTCCCGCCCCACCTATGGATAAAGGAAGCACGGATAAATGCGGTTACTTTCCGCAATGGGCAAGACATGCTGTTCACCTTGCCTACAACCGATGGGCATCGCGCTTTAGCGAAAGTAAACGATCACTCGGACGAATGCCGAAAAAATGACGCACATACATCGAATAGGCGGTGGGTACTAACTGGAAGTATATGTAGGACAAGAACGAGAGGATTGGCATAGCTGCGCCAAGTACTAAGTAATATCAGCTATGTTTGAATGTGTCTGGGTAAGCAAAAGGGTCACATTATAATGAACCAAACCAATCTGCGACAAGCCCAAGATCTCCAAGAGTTCCCGGGAGAAGAGAGAGCATTGTGTTGATAGATGCAAAAGCAAAAACCTTCGAGTGTTTCGCACTGCACCAGATTCGCGTAGTCGGCCTGTGTCAGGATGCCCTCCTTGAATCCACGAATCAGCCCCTCCAGGTAGCCGTGGTCGATGTTGAAGAAGAATTCACCCATTCTCCTGCAAAAAAACAACAACTTCCATTACCTCTTGCCCCGATACACCCTGTCCCCCTCCCCGCTCCCTTCCCCGCTTCTTCCCGTCCCCCTATCTACACTTCCAAACAACCATCCAACCCCAACTAAATCCCTTCACCCAAAAAACCCCTCCTCTCTCTTCCACACCCCAACAGCCTAACAAATGCCGAGACCAGCTCGCTCGCTACGATGCACATCGATCTTTCGCCGCACACATTCCTGCCCGAGAGCGGCAATTCAAAATTTGGTAAACACTGGACACGATGCAATATAAGTTTGCTGCGCCCGTTGTTTTGGCAACTACTAAAACTCGGCTCGGCTCGGCACGGCTCGGCTCGGCAGGTGCGTTTTACGCCTCAGTGAGGCGTCTGCCATCTCTAGCAACACTATTTCGTATCGCCAGAGACAAGAAGCAGTTGGCGAAGTGCCAGGAAAATCGGGCAACGTTGCCC